ATTCTATTCTATTCTATTCTATTCTATTCTATTCTATTCTATTCTATTCTATTCTATTCTATTAAAACAGGGGTGTATCTTATTTTCACCGAAGGCCACATGAGCATTATGTTTGTAATTAACTTCAAAATTTCGTGTTTAACTTCAACTAAATACGAAATGTCAAGTTCCTCATCTCATTGCTGAGAACTGCTAACAAACAATAACTGAGCTCTATGTGGTATTTCCTGCATAGAAACAGTGTTTTAACACATCTTATAAACACTGAAATGTACTGTGTGTACGACTGAGAAAACATGAAATAAATAATATGGAGATACTCTTAAAAGTAAAAGTAATAGTTTTACTCACTGCTGAGTTGTGGTGAGTAGTTGAATTCTGAACTCTCCTACTTTCTGACAGGAAATTCCCACTAGAGGGGCGTTCCAGGTAAATTCACGACTTTAAAGTAGGAAATTCCCACTTCCCAGTACAACAGAGCCACAGCAAAAGTAGCTGTTGAAAATGTAGCACAATGGAGATTTCACCTAGCACATTTTGCCGGCTGTTGGCTACTTGTGAACGTTGTGCATCTCCCCCTAGTGGTTGGATGCTGTCATTTCACAATTAAAATAATCAACATGCATTATGGGAGATGTAGTTTATGGTCAATGCTGGTTCTAAAGCAGCAAATTTTAAGATATTATTACATCTGTGAAGCTCTCGTGGGTCACAAAAACGCAGTGTTGGGCCACTTTTGGCCCGCTTGCCTTAAGTTTGACATCATAATTACATGACCTTTGTTTAAAAGTTTTCCATTAAAGGCAGTGGTTTATATGTAATCCCTCAAGGAAAAAGTGATCCCCCAATCAGTTTTTGTCATGCCTACAACCAAAATATGACTTTTATTAGAGTTAAAAAGTAGTATAACCTACAATCATCAGTTTTATTTTCTTAATTTAATGTAATGTTTATAATCTGTTTGATGTGAGTTTTATACAGGTGAATAAGAGCCAAAGTTCAGGTTCAGTTAAAGTAAATCTGCTGAGGATTTGCAGATTTATTTTAGCTGGCAGCTTCCAATTCAAACTTTGGACTTTTTCCTTTTAAAAGAAAAGTGCAGCATTTCAGTCTGGGTTAGTCAGGTGAAGCAGAAATGACTTTAGTCAACACTTTTTTGGTTTTCTTGCGTATTTCCTTAAAATAAAATGTTGAGTTTTCTTTAAAGGAAAATAAGGTGCCTCCCCCTCACTAACCATCCAATAAATATTTGATTTCAGGAGTGAATCTTTCTCCACCGTCTGTAGTCACACATTTACAGTCCACATACTTTTTAAGATTTAAACCACGTTCACTCTGTGGGCTAATTTTTGATCAGATTTATGAGTGTTTTGTTAGAATTTAGATCGGAAAAACCACAACATGAGATTAAAATTCAGCTGAAGGAAGCAAATATTATCCCTTATCACTACATATCTGTTTCCAAATTTAGTGTTTTAGGGTGATTAAAAAATTGATTATGATTTCCTTACATGATAAGACAGAATAAATAAAAGTAATTACATGCATCAGTCAGAGCTGATGAGTCACTGTGGCGTCAGTGTAACGCCATTTATGTTAAATATTAACTTCGAAGGGTCAGGCAACATTGATAGATTTAGTTTAATGAAAGGCAAGTTTACAAGAAAACAAACAAATGATACATAATATTACCACACATTTTTAAGTATTTACTTTAGCAAAGTGTTATTTCCAGTACTTCAGTATGGTTGAAGTGTGGTTGATGTATCAAAAGGGAATGACTTATTCAGTTTTACAACTTTTACAACACGTAAACAAAAAAACTGTATGCCCTTATCAGAAACACAACTTAATATGACCTGATCTGCAACAACTGAACCTGTAAGAACACATATTCTGTCTTAAAAAACTTTTACAGCTGCTGTCTGAAACCAGACAGATGCTAACCTGGAGTCATGCTGTTTAAATCTTGTAGCTCCACATGGTTTCAGCTACAGAACAGAAGTTCAGTTGCTTTGTCTTATTTTCTTTTAATTTTATTTTTCTTTTAATACGTCATGTCCTGGATAACGGAGAATCCACAGAACAAATGTTTGTAACGCTGCTGGATCGTATTGATGCTAAAGTTACTTGATCAATACTTTACTTCCTGCACGTCGCTTCGTTCCAAAATCGCACCGGAGCATCCAGTCAGAGGAAAGTTCAGACATAAACACTGAACTGAACGAACATATCAGATAACTATTTAATCGGCTCTGACTGCACAACTTCAGGACTGACATGCTAACACTAGCATCCATGTTTAGCTAATTCTGTAAACAGTGAGCTGAATTTAATGTCTTTTTTTTGTGC